GAGAAAATCACACAGCTGGTCTGCGACTACTTTCTCAAGGATCTTTGACATAAAGGGAAGATTAGATATTGGTCTATAGTTGGCTAACACCTCTGGATCCAGGGTGGGCTTTTTTAGTAGAGGTTTAATTACAGCTACCTTAAAAGACTGTGGTACATAGCCTGTTAATAAGGATATATTGATCATATCTAATATATGAGTGTTAACTAAAGGAAAGACCTCCTTAAGTAGCCTAGTTGGGATGGGGTCTAAGAGACACGTTGATGATTTAGATGAAGAAATCACTGCGGTCAATTCTTGAAGAGAAATTGGTGAGAAGCAATCTAAATATATATTAGGTCTTACAGCTGTGTTTGAGGTTAGATAGGTACTATCTGAGGACAGGAGGTCATGAATTTTGCCTCTACTAGTTAGAATTTTGTCATTAAAAAAGCTCATAAAATCATTACTGCTAAGGGCTAAAGGAATACAAGGCTCAATAGAGCTTTGACTCTCAGTCAGCCTGGCTACAGTGCTGAAAAGAAACCTGGGGTTGTTCTTATTGTCTTCTATTAATGCTGAGTAATAGTTTGCTCTGGCATTGCGGAGGCTCCTCTTATAAGTTTTGAGACTGTCTGTCCAGATTAAACGAGATTCTTCCAGTTTGGTTAATCGCCAATTCCTTTCAAATTTTCGCAATATTTGTTATAACTTACGGGTTTGAGAGTTATACCAAGGAGCGAACTTTCTTTGCTTTTTTAACTTCTTTTTAAGAGGAGCTACAGAGTCAAGTGTTGTTCGCAGTGAGCCTACGGCGCTATCAACAAAATGATCAAAGTCGGTAAATAATCAAAGTCTCAAACTCTGTCTCTCTCTCTCTCTGTCTCTCTTTCTCTCTAATTGTGTCATATGGATTACTGTTAATTTATCATGCTGATCTGTTCTGTACGACATCTATTGCACGTCTGTCCGTCCTGGAAGAGGGATCCCTCCTCAGTTGCTCTTCCTGAGGTTTCTACCATTTTTTCCCCGTTAAAGGTTTTTTTGGGGGGAGTTTTTCCTGATCAGCTGTGAGGGTCCTAAGGACAGAGGGATGTTGTATGCTGTAAAGCCCTGTGAGGCAAATTGTGATTTGTGATATTGGGCTTTATAAATAAACTTGATTGACTGATTAAAGAGACATCACCTAAGAAATGTCATCAAAGAGACTCCATCAAAGAGACATCACAAAAGAGATGTCATTATAGAGACGTCACCAAAGAGACGTAATTAGAGACATCACCAAAGAGATGTCACTAAAGAGACGTCATCAAAGAGACGTCATTAAAGAGACATCACCAAGGAGACGTTATCAAAGAGATGTCACCAAAGAGATGTCATTATATGGACATCACCAAAGAGACGTCCCCGAAGAGACATCATTAAAGAGACGTCATTAAAGAGACATCACCAAGGAGATGTCACCAAAGAGATGTCATTATATGGACATCACCAAAGAGACGTCACCAAAGAGAAGTCATTAAAGAGACATCACCAAGGAGACGTCATCAAAGAGATGTCATTATATGGACATCACCAAAGAGACGTCCCCAAAGAGACATCATTAAAGAGACGTCATCAAAGACGCGTCACCAAAGAGATGTCATTAAAGAGACGTCATTAAAGAGACATCACCAAGGAGACGTCATCAAAGAGATATCACCAAAGAGATGTCATTATATGGACGTCACCAAAGACATGTCATTAAATGGACGTCACCAAAGAAATGTCATCAAAGAGACGTCACCAAAGAGACTCCATCAAAGAGTCATCAAAAAAGAGACATCATTAAAGAGACGTCACCAGAGAGACGTCACCAGAGAGACGTTAAGATGTCACCATAGACATGTCATTAAAGAGACGTCATTAAATGGACGTCACCAAAGAGACATCATTAAATGGACGCCATACGTCATGTTACTACATCTTGCTAACTTGGCCGTACTACATGTCACTAAGTCGGCTTCTTCTCTGGACCCTTTGTGCTCCACTGTCTCACAGGTTAACTTAGATAGTGTGACGTGTGTGGTTGTGCTGCTGCCGTGGTCCTGCCAGATGCCTCCTGCTGCTGCTGTTATCATTAGTCATACTTCTACTGTTATTATACACATATGATTATTGTCACATATGTACATTATCAGATATTAATATATTTCATTTCAACATATTGTACCACAATAACCAAAATTATAATTATAATATCATATCATAGGGATGTCGTATGCTGTAAAGCCCTGTGAGGCAAATTGTGATTTGTGATATTGGGCTTTATAAATAAAATTGATTGATTGATTGATTGATTGACTTTCATTAATTTTGTTGTAGGCTACTGTCATTACCGACTGTCCTGCATCTCTCTCTCTCTGTCTCATTGTGTCATACTGATTACTGTTAATTTATTATGCTGATCTGTTCTGTACGACATCTATTGCACGTCTGTCTGTCCTGGAAGAGGGATCCCTCCTCAGTTGCTCTTCCTGACGTTTCTACCATTTATTTCCTGTTAAAGGTTTTTTTGGGGAATTTTTTCCTGATCAGCTGTGAGGGTCCTAAGGACAGACTGATATCGTATGCTGTAAAGCCCTGTGAGGCAAACTGTGATTTGTGATATTGGGCTTTATAAATTAAATTGAATTGAATTGAATTGAACTGAATCAAAGAGACATCACCAAAGAGACATCACCAAAGAAATGTCATTAAAGAGACGTCACCAAAGAGACGTCATCAAAGAGACACCATCAAAGAGACCTCACCAAAGAAGTGTCATTAAAGACACGTCACCAATAAGACATCACCAAAGAGACGCCATCAATGAGACGTCACCAAAGAGATGTCATCAAAGGGCGTCACCAAAGAGACATAATCACTAAATAATTCATCAGTTCATTGGTCTGATCAGCTGTAAACACAGATCGCTAACATGGCCGCCCATCACCTGATGGTCAAAGCTGCAGTGACTCAGTATTAAATGTTAGACTCTAACCCTGATGTAGTTGGCGTTGATGTAGCGGTCTGGCCCCGACTCTTCCTCTGGGCTCCTCAGGACCACCCGGCTCTCAGGGTCTAAACAGTGAACACCAAACAACAACAATAAGCAAGAGTGAAAATGGCGTCCACAATAAAGTGCAGGAGGAGGTACTGACTGGGCAGGATGGTTTTGTATCTGTCTTTGATCATGTGTCCTGGAACATCGAGCTCTGCGGCACTCACAAAGTTCGGGGGGATCTTCTGTGGAGGAGACAGGGATGGGCTGGATGTTAAAACAAACACACCTCATCTCACACAGAGATCAGACGTGACCATGAATGTCCTCAAACAGGAAGTGTCTCCGAACATGAAGACATGTCGGTCTCGTTACCTGATACTCTGCATTCAGAGTGTTTGTGTCCTCGGCAGCCTGCTGCAGCATCAAGTGTGTGAGAGGTCGTGACGATGTGTGAAGCAGCTGAAGCCACACCTCCTTCGGAGTAGAGACGGAGCACACGGGCTCCGCCCCCAGACTGCTCACATCCAATAACAACGAGAGGTTTGAGCCCCGCCTACAAAAGAGCCAATCAAGAAAGAGCACGATGATTGTTCATGTGACCCATTTCTGAAAAGTCAGAACATTCTGAAAAGTGAGGATGTTTGAAGACAGTCAGACAGTAGGGACGTTTGAGGACAGTCAGACAGTGAGGACGTTTGAGGACAGTCAGACAGTGAGGATGTTTGAGGACAGTCAGACAGTGAGGACATTTGAGGACAGTCAGACAGTGAGGACATTTGAGGACAGTCAGACAGTGAGGACGTTTGAGGACTTTGGACGTTTCTACAGAAATAAAGAAAAAGATGAATTTCTCAGTGAATTAAAGACACTGTGTTTGGTTGTGTGTGTGTGTGTGTGTGTGTGTGTTCTCACCTTTCCTGCAGGCGGATGGAGGCTTTGCGAGGAGGTGTGGCCATTGGTGGGGGCGTGGTCGCATCATCAGCAGGAGGGGGGGCTGAGCCCACTGACGACATACTCATGGTGTGTTTGTTTGTGTGTGTTTTTATGTGTTAGAGTTGGTCAACAGCGTCCTACAGGACAGACAGACAGACAGATGGACCATTAATTTCAGAGTGAACTGAAGCACTGGTTTGATTCAAATACTAAAGTCTATAAACTGTGGCATCCGTCTGTGGAAATGTGTGAGCAGGGTGAAGGAACGGGTGGATGGGTCCAAAAACTACCGACTGGATGCCAGTGTTCACTTCCTGTATGAATGTGGAGCCAAACCATGTTTTTTCTAAACGTAACCATGTCCTTTTGTTACAGAAGCAAATAAATGTAAATACAATGTGTTTTACCAACTCTGTACTTTTGAAAGAGACTATCTGCAACCATATCCTGTGAAAACAGAAGTTTATTTTGAAATGACAGATGTGACAGGTATAAACTGACATGACGTCCCAGAACATTAACAAAAGGCACAGGAGGAAACATAGGACATCTTTATGTAGACGTCAAAGTGCACAAACAAGGACGTGACGAGGTAAGAGTTGGAGTAACAAACATACTGCTGAGTTTGTGATCAATCTGTGTCGCGTAAGAATGACAAACCCACATCAGCTAAAACAAAATTTAACACCATTCAAAACGACAAAGAAAAATTAAAAACATGAGTATTTTATATACGTCTCATCGCGTTCCCGTCAGCTCTCTGGTCGTTCACAGCCTGGTCAACACAACACTGGATCTAACCCAACACTGGATCTAACCCAACACTGGATCCAACCCAACAATGGATCCAACCCATTACTGGATCTAACCCAACACTGGATCCAACCCTAACCCTGGATCTAACACAACACTGGATCTGACCCTGGCCCAACACTGGATCTAACCCAACAATGGATCCAACCCTAACCCTGGATGTAACCCAACACTGGATCCAACCCATCCCTGGATCTAACCCTGACCCAGCACTGGATCCAACACAACACTGGATCTAACCCAACACTGGATGTGACCCAACACTGGATCCAACCCAACATTTGATCTACCACAACACTGGATCCAACCCAACATGGGATCCAACCCTAACCCTGGATCTAACACAATACTGGATCCAACCCAACACTGGATCTAACCTAACACTAGATCCAACCCAACACTGGATCTAACCTAACACAGGATACATCCTAACACTGGATCTAACACAACACTGATCCAACCCAACACTGGATCTAACGCAACACTGGATCCAACCCAGCACTGGATCTAACCCTGACCCAGCACTGGATCTAACACAACACTGGATCTAACCCTGACCCAACACTGAATCCAACCCATTACTGTCTCTAACACAACACTGTCTCTAACATAATACTGCATATAACACAACACTGGATCTAACCCAGACCCTGATGGTTGTGTTCTGGTTTCCTCAGAATGAGCTGTTCATATGTACAGCAGGTCCTTGTGTACAGAGATCACTATGTTGCACCGCCATGTTTCTACAGTAGCCCAGATCGGACAAACCAAACACTTACTCTTGGTGTGTTCATAGTTATCAGCCCCTCTGTGAAACATTGCTGACTGGGAACCTGTATGTTTCTGAGAGGAAGAGAGATAATCCAGCTCCTCAACAATCAACACTGAAGGAATTCTAACCAGGAGAAGTTTCAGCTGGTTGTAATCTGTAATCTGTAATCCTCCTGAATCTGACACAGTGGAGTTTTAACTGGACTAACTGTTGAAGTGGTTGGAATCAACTGAGTTTGTGTGATCTCACAATCATCACCATCTTTACAGCTCTGTAGAGTTTTTTAGCCTCTTTTAGCTCCTAGTTTTAATCTTATGGTCCCTTCACTGTCTCCCAGCAGCTAGTCTTGCTACCAGACAATCAGAGATCTCCGCCTTCTGATAGTCTGGGGACACTCCTTTCTAAAGTGTGTTTAACACAACGGCGAAGACGGCCGGCAACAAAGCAACGCCTCTTGCGTTTTTGAAAAGGACATGCCTTCTCGGAAATGTGCGCTCCCCCTTTTCTCGTCCGCAAGGAAACAAACACACAGAGAGCTTGAAAATGGATGCCGAGAGATTTAACTCTTTTTTATCAAATTTGTGCTCATCCTTGAAGAAAATATTTTTTCCAGCGGATGTCTTAGTTACAACATGATTGAGCTAACTGGAGTAGTTTCATGTCGTATCCGACAACGGGAGGCTTTTAACAGATGATGTCCTGATGTTAGCTTAGCTGCTAGTGTTAGCTGTCCCTGTCACCTGCAGCCACTGATGCTTTCTAGACATCGTGATTTCCCAAAACTGAATAAATACCACACATAGCATAGCAACACAAAACTGCTTTGCTAGCTCAATCATGTTGTAACTAAGATATCCGCTGGAAAAAAAAAAAATTTTCACAGACCGTTTAATGAGTTATTACCTATTACAGACACCACTAACGGCTAAGAAATAGTAATGTTTGTTCAATCATTGTGTTTATAGACTTTATATATATATATGTAGCTAAAAGCTCTGCTGGTTTTCTACCCGGAAGTATTTGTAAACAACAAGGCGATTCCCTCTAACGTTATAGTCCGGCCTGACGGATGAGTCATGGCCTTGTAAAAGATTATGTTTCTTTGTTTTAGTTGGCGAGAATGTGTCGCCGCAAATGCGACAAACATCCACTAACTTTGACGGCTTTTTCTGCAAGCGCGGCTGAGCCATTTTGTACCGCTACACGTGTTTCTAGTGGGACTATGTTTAAAGGCACAAGAGTTCAACGAGCCACCGAAGGACCGCCCTGCAGATTTACTATTGGTTCTGCAACATAGAGAGTTTTTTAAACTCTGAAATTGTATCCGCCCATCTAAACACAAAATCAGGTAGAAAGTCATCAGTCTTTAGTTAAGCAAAGCGTCTAAAGACTGACTTGTGAGTCTACCCAGCAGCAGCACCATTTTGTCCCGACCAATTCTCTGAAAACAAGAACACGTATTTTACTCACCTTTCTGTTATGTTTCAGATTTATTTCACCTCAAGCTTCTGCTCTGCATTGGCTCTGTGTTTTTATCGTTAATGAGCTTCTTTAGAAAAAGTCACATTAAACTGACAAGTTACTTCTGACGGTTTTGTTGATGCCGCCTCAGTGAAGGAAGTTTGACATGTTGACTAAATTACTGATGTGACTATGAAGCTCCTGTCAGACTCACAGGATGCATGTCATCCTGAAATCTCCACCTGCCTGAATCACGATCAACAGATACTACTACATATTGTGTGTGTGTGTGTGTGTGTGTGTGTGTTTCCACATCACTTTGGATCTGAAACGTTTCAGTCTTTCTCCATCGGAAGAGAGTTTCCTCACAGCAGGAAGTCAGCACATCCACCCACCCCCACACACACACACACACACACACACACACACAGTAGCAGTGTTTTGTTACTGAATTTAAACAAAGCTGTTCTTGAGTGTTGGTCATGAGATTAGTCGTTTCTCAGTCTGACTTCTTGTCTTTTCTTGTTTTGTGTCATCACTCAGACCAAATGTTTCTCAGTTAAGTTTCCCAGCATTCATTTCACACCTGCTAGCAGAAGATATGAGCCATAAGTGTTGTCATTCTACAGCTGCTGTTCTGTCAGATCAAACATATAAAATATTTTCAGAGGTGTGAGAGCTTTCAGTCAGTGTCCATGGTCGTCATCCCTGAGAGAACAGTGACCTGATGTCTCTGTTGAGTGTTAAACTGAAACTGAACTAATAAACTGTTTGTATGTTTGTCTATGAAAAGTAATGCACCAAAATTCATACATATCCTTTGTAATCATGAGCCAGTAATTTGTGTATAACCCACGTATTTTGAAGGCTGTGATCATGTGACCAGTTTGCTGATGGGAGTAAAGATGGAAGTGGTCCAGTTAGGAGGAAGGTTGAGGTGGTGGACCAGTCACAAAAGACAGAACGTTTCCACGCGTGTTCAGAACCATGACCTTCCAATCATTTAAGGTTCATCCTCATTGAGTTTCTTTTCCTAAACTGAACCTCTGTGACATCATCTATGGGACATAGGACATCACACAAACTGTTCTATTATGACACATTGATCAACCCAATAGCCAGAAAAAAGTTGTTGTAAAAGTTGTGGATTTCTTTTTCTTCTCAACAATGCTGTATTTAACCCTATGGGCCCGAAGGACGCATAGTGCGTCCAAATTCACACCTGTTCTTCTCTATGGATTTTCTCCACAACTGTGCATCATAGTGAGAAGCCACACATATCACGTGAAACAGCGGAATCATAGCTTTCCGAGAAGACCAAGCACTTGTCAATAGTCCAATGTTTTCACAGTGAAAAAAATGATAAAGTTACACTAAAACTACATATAACAGACCTTTCACACAGCTTTGCACTCTTGGATGGATTACTCGCGAATGCAGGGTCGCACAGAAATGCCATACATATCACATGAAAGCGCAGGAGAAGAGCTTTCCAGTGACACCACACACATCATTGTGCTGTCATCCCATCATGCTATAAATACTGATCAATTGTCTACCAAATAAAATCCTGACGAATTTCTTTACAATCCATTATACAGATCTTGTTATCAGTCACTTCATATAGTGAGGAATATCGTATCTTACCATGTCTCAGGCTTGCGTGTGTTTCTCCCTGTCTATCCACATTTGTAGTCCAGCTTTCAATATGCAAATATCTCCATATTGTCCAGTTGACACTCCATCAAACTTTGTATGACAAGACCAGCCACTTCACCTTTGCGCACCCAGACAACTGTAGCCTAATTATGCATGCATGACAGGGCCGTAGTCACCATATACATTGAGGGGGACACATGCCCTCCCACTAATGCCCAAAATGTCCCCCCAATATATAACCGAAACTGAAAAACAACAACAAACTTTGTTTACTGCAAACAAAGAGGCAAATATTATCTTGGAGGACATCATTGCACTTGGTTGACTATTTTTCTATTATCTTAGATGTAAATATTAAATGTTTCTTTCAGATAAAACACATTTTTGACTTGTGAATGCGTCAATGGAATTTCTTGCAATAATGAAAAAATACTGGCAATCATGTCCGCCTGGCACAAACCACATGTTTTGGACAGCTGTGAAGTGACAGAATGTCCCACCATCATGGTTCTTATATTGCCAGATTCCAGAGAGTCTCCCCTCTTCATATATGGTAGAATATGTCTTTTTCCAACTTGCTATGTTGAGATACATGTAAAAATGTAAGAATTTAGTCATACGGATTTGTTTTTTTTCATTGATATGAAAATTAATATAAAATACAGGCACATAGGAGGACATGTAATGATGGCAAATCTGGATAGCCCACACTGTCCTAAAAAAAACAAACAAGATATAGCATGTGTATGTAGCCTTTATAATGACTGTGATATGAGCTTAAAAGTAAAGGCAGTAAAAATACCCCAAAAAGGCCTAGGGCCCATAGAGTTAATGTAATATAGGTTTAGGAACAACAGCTTGGTTCTTGGAAAACATCACGTTTTGGCTTAAAATAACCACTTTGAATTTCACAATCGCGGCAGGAAATGCAACGATGATATCGTAAATAACACCCACTTTTTGTCAGGCTATCCTCACGAGAAAAACTCACGAGAGTTTGGTGGCTAAAAGCTGCTGAAAATACAGTGATGACGTTATGAACAAACCATTTGGTTGTGTGTTGAACAGTCGCTGCAGCTTGGCAGGTGTCTCTTCAAGGTGTCACACCATCCACCATCCCCTCCACCTCCTGATGAGGTAAGCTCAGATACTATGTCATTGCAGAAACGCTGATATGACACGTATGACACGTACGAATGCAACTTAGTCATGGTTTCTAGAAATCTTCTAGTGCTGGGACTGGGTTTATCTGCTTATATTTTGGTTAAGACAAACAGTGCAGCCTGTAGGGGGCGCTCTAGACCTTAAGTCTCATTTAGTGAACACATGAACATAATGATTTCAATAATAATAGGCATTGTGTTGCTCGTTACACTGGATTATACACATGAATCTTTCAGCACGTCATCCTCAAAGACTCAACAAACCAGCAACAGGAAGTTTTAAAAGAATAAATAAGTATTAATATTGAGGTAGAGAGTTAGAGTTATAATGTAGAGAGTAAGAGTTATAATGTAGAGAGTTAGTTATAATGTAGAAAGTTAGAGTTATAATGTAGAGAGTTAGAGTTATAATGTAGAGAGTTAGTTATAGTGTAGAAAGTTAGAGTTATAATGTAGAGATTTAGAGTTATAATATAGAGAGTAAGAGTTATAATGTAGAGAGTAAGAGTTATAATGTAGAGAGTTAGTTATAATGTAGAGAGTTAGAGTTATAATGTAGAGAGTTAGAGTTATAATGTAGAGAGTTAGTTATAATGTAGAGAGTTAGAGTTATAATGTAGAGAGTAAGAGTTATAATGTAGAGAGTTAGAGTTATAATGTAGAGAGTAAGAATTATAATGTAGAGAGTTAGAGTTATAATGTAGAGAGTTAGTTATAATGTAGAGAGTTAGAGTTATAATGTAGAGAGTAAGAATTATAATGTAGAGAGTTAGAGTTATAATGTAGAGAGTTAGAGTTATAATGTAGAGAGTTAGTTATAATGTAGAGAGTGAATTACAGACAAGTCTTACCAGTCATTCGTCAGCCATGATGTTGTGTGTTTGTGTGATTCAGGGAGGTGTGAGTCGTCCTCTCAGTCTGGAGCTCCTTCTGACTTTCACCTACAACAACACAATAATCACTGAACATGTGACTTAAGTTAAATTAGAGGTGAAAGAGAAGACGGATCTTCGTTTCCTCTGTTTCCCTTCAGATCGATGATTCACTGACAAACTGCAGCAAGAAGAGACACGTGAACTGAGGGAAGAATGGAGTGATAGAGAAAGTGATAGGGAAGAAGAGAACGTCAAAATATGAGAGAGAAGAAGAAGCAGGAGTAGACATGTCCTGTTTTTCTGGCCGTAACTGACTCAAGGTGTTCAGGTACAGCAAGAGAGGTAGAGACCTGAGGGGAAAAGAAAATGAGTCAGAGAGCGAATGAAAAGATAGATAGATAATAAAAGAGAGGAAGAGAGATGCTCCAGGCGTTGATTATTAACACACCAACAACAGCTGCTCATGAATCATTCATGTCAAATCAGACAACACACCGCTGACACCAGCAGCACAGAAACACATCACAAAACAATCTACGACTGTGACGCTTTTTTGTTTTTTTTTTGTTTTTTTTACCACCGAGGAAAAACAACAAACACACAGATGCAGCGTCACACCTCCACAGTGTTTTTCACTCATCAGTTTTTTCTAAACTTTCTGCTGTGTTTGACACTATGAGTGTCTGAGCTGCTGCTAACGCTCCCTCTGATAGAGGAGCTGGCTGCTTGCTAAACGCCACCCCCCACATAACAATTGCCAATCACAGTGGAGCACCTAGTGACAGCAGGTCTGTCAGTGTTTGTGTTTCTCCACCTGTTGAAGCGACGTAGCTATACGAAGCTGCGCTACTGCTCAACCTGCAAAAATAACACAAATCTCTTGAGACGCCCAATGTTGTGTTTTGATAGATTTTTAATGTCTCAAAGATATTGGGGATCAGTAGGATGATGATGATGAGCATAATAAAACTAAACAGGAAGTTGTTTTGGCGGATAAAGTCTTCATATGGTGTGTGATAAAGGTTTAAACTAACTTCAATACCTGAACACTGTTGGGCAAAAACAAAATTACAAAGAATTTCTTCAATGTCATTTTGTCAACAAATGTTTTATCAGGTAAAGTTAATGTCACCTCATGTTTGCTATTACAGCACAATGTTTCTAATGAACTAAAAAACATTATTGATTTTATTATTGTTCCAAGCTGCCATGTTTTATTTGTATTTATAACATTAATAGACCAGTTCTGAGTCACAGCAGCTGGTGACTGAACAACAGCAAAGACCAGAGAGAAACAGTCGAGAATTAAAATGAAATGAACAAAATGTCTGATTGTGCCAGGACAGGAAGTCAAAAAAAGATAACCTTCATTTTTATGGAAACCATCACCGAGGACGCCGTTAAAGATAAACAAAGACCTCTATGGCTGACAGAATTTGATGTAAACACAAAAAATCAACATAAAATTGACGTAATTCACACAGTTCCAACATGAAATAATGTTATGGTCTATATCTACATACCGGGTGGCAGCAGGATTTATATTGTTCTAAAAATAAGTCATGAAATGCAGTTCGCCGTCAGTAAACAGCTGTTTGACTTGTTAATGTGTTATAGAGCTTCGTTTTCTGTCCTTGTCTCTGCTCAGCAGCACGTCTGTCCATCATTAACAAAAATCATTAGACAGATCTCTGTATTAAACTTCCTGAATGTGACCGCAGAGAACAAACCTGTCTGCATGGAGAGGTTTGTATGTCTGCAATTATTTTTTCGTACAGACGCTTGGTTTTTCCACGAGTTTTATGAAGATGTTGGAACGCTGTAACATTAGTTTGTTTATGCAAACCGCAGACATATTCGCATACAGATATTATGATCTACGTGTAGCAGAAAAAAAGTTTAGTGTATATTCATCCTGTAATGGCTGCTGGACGCGCAGTAGAGGAGTGTGTGTTTGGATTGCATGAACTGAATTACTGACGTGATGAAAGATAACTCATCATTATAAGATTCATGTCTGTCAAATTTGTCTTATTGCCCATGGTTAATAGTCGTGGAGACGTCCACAGATAATTTAATGTGGTACCATTTTTCCCTGTAAAAGGTTTTTTTGGGGGAGTTTTCCTGATCAGCTGTGAGGGTCCTAAGGACAGAGGGATATTGTATGCTGTAAAGCCCTGTGAGGCAAATTGTGATTTGTGATATTGGGCTTTATAAATAAAATTGATTGATTGATTGAAGTAACAACAGATAACTTATCAACATGCTAGATAACGCTCTATGTCTGTTTCTCCGAATATTTTAATGTCATACTACCATATCAATATATGGAAATATTATCCACACTATATAGGTAATATAATGGTGTGGAGTGTGTGGAGTAGAAGAGTTGTCTTCTTCCACATTGAATTATATTATAAGATGAGATAAAATATCTTATCGCTGTCTGTTTATGAACTCCTGGATCAGAACAGAATATAGAAAATTTAACCACAAGAGAACCTGTTCATAGTTTGTTATTAAACAGATAATGGATCATAGAGGTTTATTTCTACTTGCCTGCAATCAGCCACAGGTAGCACATTAGCAACATTAGTTATATTGCTAACATTAATGAGCCTTCACAACATAAACTGAAAACAGGTTTTCTTGTGGTGTCCCTAATAAAGTGAGCAGTGGTGAAAGTTAATATACTTTGTTATGATCCAGGTGTTAATAAGCAGACAACGTTAGGTAGCTAGCACGCTAGCACGTTGATCAGTTGTACTTAAATCATTTTATATGTGGACGTCTCCACAAGTTTTATCCAAGGACAATAAGACAAATCTATGTTTCAGCAGCCTAAATATACACAGTAATAATCAACTGGAGACAAAACTTTACTTTTTACACGTAGATCATGAACGTATGGATACAAAAACCACTCACTGCAATCGGTTGAGAAATAAAAACTGTTCTGGTGCTTTTTACGTTTTATTTGGCATTCACACATTCACCCCACCGTTGTGCTTTTCTGCCACTAGTTTGGCTCCGCCCACAAAATACGTCATCTTTGTTATGAAAACAAAAAGGGTCTATGATTTATCTAATAAAAAAGAAATCAACACTTGGCGTCTGTGTAACAATATGATACTGCCACCTAAAAATATTCAGATACTATGCTGTAGCGATTTTTATCTGGTGTTACTGGTTCCTTTGTTTCTTAATATTTGACTCACAATATGAAGCTCAGGAGTTATGAAGTTAAATGACCCAAAACATTAAATATAAAGTAGTTAAACTGTCTCCGTCTGGTTCTTCTGGAACATTAAAATGTTGTGCGCATTAATAATAACACAGATTTGATACTGCTGCATGATGACATCTTCACATGTAATCATTTAATATTTGTGATGATACATCTGAAATCCGGTTTCCTGCTTTGTTTTGATTGGGTCATTTGATGTCATTTGTTAATGAATAAGTCTCCAAGTTACAGAGTAACAATAATAATAATATTAATTATTATTCTACACATTAACAGTGTTTTGTAAATGAATCCGTTTTAAAATAAATTACATGATAATTCATTTTATTAAATGTCCTCTGATTTTCTGCATACTCACACAGTAATAATATTAATATAAAAAAAACAAATGTAATTCATATCTGAACCTTTAAACATAAACTTTTAATATTTGTTGCAGTAACTGATATTTGGATTTAGTATTTCTGAATTCTTTTTCTCTGACATGATTAAAAACTGCTGATGACAAAACTAAATTATTCACCTCACAAACAGCTCACGTTTTATCAACTGTATCTTCAGAGGTTTTGTTCAGGTGAACAAGTTCTGGTTTCGTCTCACCTTGTTGTGTTTGTCTCCCTCCCTCTCGTCCTCCTCTTTCTCGTCTTTGTCGTCTTGGCTTGAGTCCTCGTCTCTTCCTCCTTTTCTCTCATCTGTTGCTTTCTGTCGTCTTGTCTTTTACTTCGATCTTCTTCTTCTCTGCCACTTCCTTTTTTCTGCACCCACCCACTCTCTCATTACCACACACACACACACACACACACACTTTCTATTCCCCTCATCATCCAAGGTTATGGGTCCCCGTTAGACTGCATGCCACAGGCTTCACCATCGTGTATCTGTGTTTTTATTTTCGTGTGTGTGTGTGTGTGTGTGTGCTTGTGTTATTTGTGTGTACTTTGTGTGTGTTTTGTGTTGTGTGTGTTTCACAGAGGGGCTGTATAAACTGATTTTCTGAGTCTTTTTTTCTCCAGCTGTCGGATGAACAGCAGTAGGATTTGATCCCGCAGGGACGCAGGCGGGGAGGCTAACCTGTTAGCGTGATTAGCAGTGAGCATAGAAATAAAATTAATAGAAGAGACGACACTTGTTGACGACAGCACTCTTCCTCTGTGTGAGATGAGCAGATAATAACGCTGTGGGGGAACTTTAGGAGCTTTGTTGAAAGCTGCAAGGCATTATTAGTGTACCACTGCTGCTGCAGAATCCTCTTTTCGTGTTGTCTTCACACAGTCCTGAAATTAAAACGTTTAAACCCTCTGAGTGACACGTTGTGTTGAGATGAAAACAACGACACAAAAAAACAACATGGAGGATAAACAGAGTGTTGACAGGAAGAATCAATCAACAAGATGGCAGAACAGGATACTTGACCAGGACGTCCTGAATTTGTTCAGGAACGACCAATGTCCTGTTGAGACTGTTCATACGTCTTCTTTGCATCACATGACCGTACTAACCACATGACCGTATTAATGATATGACCATAGTGATCCCATGTTAAGTCATGATGTTAAGTCATGTGACCGTGGTGTAGTTTGTTTCCGGCCTGGTTGTGTCGGTGACGTTGAGTCATGTGACTGTGGTGTAGTTTGTTTCTGGTCTGGTTGTGTCGGTGACGTTAAGTCATGTGGTGGTCTCCACAGTGTCTCACCACAGGTCACTTTGAATTGTGAAGTCTTGCTTAAGTTTGCTCCAGCTTGTCAGAGTTATTACTGACTTTATCAGGTGGAGGTGATGAAGGGGATAGTGGACGGTGTGACACTACCATCTTCAAACCATGAATATGGTTTATATCAACATTTCTAAAGTGATGTCGTATCTGAGCTGACTATGTCATCAGGAAGTGGAGGGGATGGAGGTGATGGTGGACAGTATGGCACCTGGAAAAGATGCCTGCTGAGATGCAGACACTGTCCAACACCAACAAACATTTAAACTTGTGTGTAGGTGAGTCGCCGTCTTTAGGCCCTAAATGTTCTGTTGCGACCCGTCCACAACAAGTGTTTTTTTTTTTATTGTTATTGATACATCACTGTGTGTCCAGTGGGAATTGTTTCCCCCAGAACCAGACATTTTAAGCTAAAACATGATGTTTTCCACCCAGAATCAAGTGTTTTCTGTGTTTAAACATTACTCCATATTAACCACAACACTGTTGAAATGTGAAGTTTCAGTGCATCTGCTACATAATAATGTGTAAATCTAACGTATCTGTGGTTTGCAGAAATTTAAAATGCCAACATTTTTCTAGTGTTGACTGAAAGCATGGATTGTAAAAGAAGCCGGCACTTGTTTAACCCCACTGCAATCATTCTGCTTCATTTGCACATGAAATGATGCAGCCTCTCGTGTCTCGATAACTACTTTCTATTTTGACTTTTTATTGCTCCACACTCCCTGTCTGGTCTTATCCACTATCGTTCACATATGTGATGTCTGTATGCTGTGTGTCTTCAGTCTGCAAACCAAATTTCCCTTATGAACCATAAAGGCAGAATGACTGAATGAAATAGATTTGGAAGTCTGAGAGAAGTACAGGAGACGCAGCACTGTTAGCGTAAGTGGCTCCCTGTGAAGTTGTTTTATTAGTTTCTATGGTAATTCAATGCCGCGATGGAAAACAATCCACTGTAGACTAACTACTGAAATACTTTAATTCATCAGCTAATGACACAGAGAGTGCTCACACTGTTGTGTGTGATAAGGGGACATGAAGAGAGAAGAAATGAGCAAAAGAAGGAGGGAACTTCAAAAGAGGGAGAGTGGTTGATGCTGCGAGCACACAGGAAGTAAGAGACGAAAGGAAGAGGTGATGAAAGAATGTGATGATGGAGACAAAAGAAGAAAGGTCCGAGAAAGATGCTGGACATGAACCAGAGTGCACGCTTGTTTTATTTAAATTGATTTATTAAAGGTCATTAAAATGAGCTCCGCCTTTACCAACTGCAACATTAAACAATGTATTACAACTCAATTATATATTTTCTATTCTGCAGAATGAGTTTTTTACTCTTATTGTCATTGTGACATCGATAAATTAGAAAAATAAATGCACAGGCCATCAGCTGTCCGCTTGCCCTGATGCCCCTCACTTCTCAGTGAGACCCCCTGATTGTAGTATTTCCAAAGCCTCTTTGTTCTTCTCTGGGCTGTTGACCATCTTGGATTGATTGAGGACCAGGTATGTTCAACAAAGTGCTTTACCAGAGGAATGTGTGTATACTTACTTTTACAGATATGGTACCTGTGTTGTGTAAACCTGGTAAGCATGGTATTACCTGTTTGACCCACAGACTGTATTCCACATCGTTTACATCTGATGAAATATACAAAGTGTTTTGAATGGGCGTTGCCATATCTGTGTGTTGGAGAAACATTATTGTTGTGTTGATTGCTCACCCAGGATTGGTGCTGAAAAAATGTTCTGTGCCAGTGACGTCTAGAGTTAGACAGTGGTTTGATTTTAGCTTTGACTACAATGTCCTGCAAATTTCATTTTTTTGCATGCAGCAACAATCCTCTGGTCCTATAAGAGCTGAGATCTTTATGTAAAGTTATGGAGCTCATTTTTAATCACCCTAACAAGCTGTACTGCTGATGGAGATTATGTAGTAATTACTGGCAGCAGAGAATCAATGAACAGAGGTTTAGTTTACTCAAATGTTTTGACAGCTCTGCTTAAAAAGGATCTAGAGTACCCTCTAGTGGAGAAATAGAGAACAACACTTTGGTGGCTTCTTTAAAATCCTCCTGTCATGTATATATCCTATGAATTCTGAGGAGCTGTGATGTAAGTAGACATGAATACTGTTTGGAATGGAAACTAGATTAATTTCAACCAGGAGAGACAGGGGTAAGGAATAAAGATCAAATTCAATGTGAAATATATGTGTACAGATTAACAGATGATTGTGCTGATAAGATTTTAATGGTGAGCAATAGTTTGCTCTGGCATTGTGGAGGCCTGTGTTATATGTCTTGAGACTGTCTGGGCAGACAGTTTTGAGACTGTCTGTCTATACTAAGCAAGATTTTTCCAGTTTGGTTAATCGCCAATTTCTTTCAAATTTTCACAATATTTGTTTTAACTTATGGGTTTGAGAGTTATACCAAGGAGCGAACTTTCTTTGCTTTGTTAACTTCTTTTTAAGAGGAGCTACAGAGTCGAGTGTTGTTTGCAGCGAGCCTACGGTGCTATCGACAAGATGATCGATTCGGGAGAGTTTAAAGTCGGCACGGGAAACCTCTGTTACTGAAGGACATGGTATTGAATTTAATGATGATGGCTTAAAGGCCCAGTGTGTAAAATGGGTTGAAAACAGTGACATCAGTGGCCAAATTCTAGATTGCAGGGCTCACTCGCTCACCCCTCCCGTCGTGTAAATGATGGTGGCCTTTTAGGTACAAAAAGCCTTGCGCACTTTTTTTTCTGGAGTAGGTCTATCTAGCGACGAGGTGAATGTTTATTTAGAAATCTAAGCCATGTTACGATATTGTAATGAATCCCTCACGAGCAGGAGACCAGAGGAGCGTTCGGGAAAAAGGCCTGTTTATTTGAGCACTCCAGAAACTCCGGTAACACTCCACTCCGTCCCAAACTCTGACTCTTCTAGCGTAACAGACACACTTCATAACATTACACACATACTTGTTTACCATGCTGAGTGGGGACCCCCCTCCCTCTCTGCTCCACCAATCTCCAGCCCGCACACTGACTGACAGCGTAGCCTGTAAACAGAGCTCAGCTGTTTATTTAGCCTAGCAATATCTCCGGACTATAGTAGCTGCAATGGACGACTTTGAAC